GGAAAATCGGTAATAAAACAATAAGTTCGAATATGTCGGTCGGTAAAATAAATGAGTTTCAACCGGGGAAAAGTTGGAAAACTTACATAGCTCGGTTAGAACAATATTTTATAGCAAACAAAATTGTAAGTGAATTAAAAGTGCCTACCTTAATAACAGTAGTCGGCGATGCCACATATGAATTAATGGTAGATTTATGTAGTCCGGAAAATCCAGAAGATAAACCTTATGAGGTTTTGGTAAAAATAGTTAAAAGCCATTTGGAACCCGATCCGTCTGTAATAGCCGAAAGACATAAATTCAGAAAAAGAAGACAGGAGCAAAATGAAACTATTTCAGATTATAGTGCAACTCTTAAAAATTTTGCAAAATCTTGCGATTTCAAAGACACCCTTGAAGAAAATCTTCGTGACCAGTTTGTTTCTGGATTATACAATGAAACAATTAAACATCGTCTTTTTTCTGAGAAATTTATAAATTACGCAAGAGCCTTTGAAATAGCTAGAAATATGGAAGCCGCTGAAAAGCAAGTTAGTCAGGTGGAGTGTTCTTAAATTAATAGAATTCAAAAAGAAGGAACTCAACACAATCGTCAGAAAGGCACTTATGGTGCTCATTACAGTGGACAATTCAACAGGGGTAGAGCTCATCGGGGCGCAAGAAATCATCAGGAGTGTCTAGTATGTGATAAAAAAAATTACAGCTCTGGTGAGTGTTACTTTAAATTTTCATTTTGCAATAATTGTGGAAAAAAAGGACACATCCGGTCAGTTTGTAAACAGAAATATCTTGTCAATGCAAACAAAAATCAAAATTTCTACATAGGCAATAACGAGGCGCAGATCAACGAAATTGGAAATTTAAATTTAAACAAAAGTGATTCAGACTCTGATTGTTCTGTTAATTTATATAATATTATAAACAATGAAAAGAATAATTATTGTTCTCCTATTAAATTAAATATTCAAATTGAGGGTATTAAATTGTTGATGGAAGTAGACACAGGGTCAGCTGTTTCGTTGATTTCAGAAAGTATTTACAGAAGAAATGTTTCTTATTTACCTCTGTCACCTACGAAACTAAGGTTAAATTCGTACACAGGGATTCGCATCAACACTCTGCGTTACATAATTCCTAAGATTACACATAATGAAATAAGTTTACCATTAAAGCTTTACATTGTTCCTAAAGGTGGTCCGTCTTTGCTGGGAAGGAAATGGCTTTCGGAATTAAAAATTTTGATTTTGATTTTGATTTTTCTACACTTAAACAAAAATCACATAATATCGGGGACAATAGAATTAAGAAATTAATTTCTGAATATGATTGTATCTTTGAAAATAAACTAGGTAAATTTTCCAATTTTAAAGCTAGTTTACATTTAAAAGGAGGTGCGATACCGGTATTTTTTAAGACTCGTTCGCTCGCAATAAATTTAAAAAATAAGGTAGAATGTGAATTAGACAATCTTGTAGCAACTGGGGTTTTGTCTCCTGTTGATTATAGTGAGTGGGTTAGCCCTATTGTACCTGTAATTAAAAAAAAATGGTAATATCAGGATTTGAACAGATATTTGCAAATTTATCTGGAGGAGTACTTTTTACTAAACTCGAATTATCTCAAGCATTTTTACAAGTTGAATTAGACGAAGAATCAAAAAAAATTGTTGCAATAAACACTACTAAAGGACTTTTTGTTTACAATCGATTACCATACGGAATTGCATCAAGTCCAAGTATATTTCAAAAAATTATGGACTCACTTTTTTCTAATTTAGAAGGAGTCAGCGTTTTTATGGATGACGTTTTGGTAACCGGAACTAATACAGATCAGCATTTATTGCGTTTAAAAATAGTATTTGAAAAAATAAAGTATTTCAAAAAAGAAGTGAACTATTTAGGTCACACTATTGATTCTAATGGATTACGCCCAAATAATGATAAAATTTTCGCAATTTTAAATATGCCAAGTCCCACAAATAAAACACCATTAAAATCATTTTTAGGTTTTGTCAATTTTTATGGGAAATTTATACAAAATTTAAGTTTGAAGTTAAATCCAATATTTAAGCTATTACGTAATAATGTGCAGTGGCATTGGGATAAATCTTGTGAAATATGTTTCAACTCTATAAAAAGCGAACTAACTTCCCCTAAAGTGTTGGTATACTATAATCCGTCTCTACCTTTAGCCTTGTTTTCAGACGCTAGTTGTTTAGGGGTAGGAGCATATCTAGCTCACATATATCCAAATAATGACTTTAGACCGATCGCGTTTGCGTCGCGGACATTAAGTGAATCTGAAAAAAATTATAGTCAGATAGATAAAGAGGCTTTGAGTATAATATTTGGCATAAAGAAATTTCATGATTATCTTTTTTTAAAGAATTTCTTTCTTTATACTGATCACAAGCCTTTGATTGCTATTTTCGGAGAAAAAAAAAAGGTATACCTCAAATTGCGGCCAGTCGTTTACAAAGATGGTCACTAATATAATCAGCTTACCAATATGAGATTAAATTTATACGTTCAGAACAAAATTGTAACGCCGATGCTCTCTCTAGGTTACCGGTTCCCTCTGAAACTAACGACGCAGGCGATTCCGGATACATTTTTTATTTAGAGGACTCTAATCTGCCCATTAATTATAAATTAATTGCAAAAGAAACTCAACGTGATGAAGTTCTTTTTAAACTTTTTAAATTTTGTTATACCGGTTGGCCCAATAATAAGAATTACTTATCGCCGGAAATAATTACTTATCGCCGGAAATGCAAAATTATTTTATTAAACAAAATGAATTACATTTAGAACATGGTTGTGTTTTATGGGGTGTACGTGTGGTTATCCCAAAAATTTTTCAAAAAAATATTTTAATGGAAATTCATTCTAGCCATCTGGGTGTAAATAAAAGTAAATCAATTGCTAGATCATATTGCTATTGGTACAATATTGATTCGGACATTGAAAACTTATGCAGAAATTGTGAAATTTGTATATGTTTTCAATCAAACCAACCAAAAACTGTTTTGCAGCCTTGGCCTATATCAAATAAACCTTGGTCAAGGTTACATGTCGATTTTTTAGGACCTATTTATAATAATAAATATTTTATTGTTATTGATTCCTATTCAAAATGGCTGGAGATTTTTAAAATGCAAAATACTACAGCACAAGCGGTCACAAAACATTTTTTAAGATTTTTATTTTCCCACTTTGGATTACCCGACACCTTAGTTTCGGATAATGGACCACCTTTTACTTCATCGGAGTTTGAAAATTATTTGAAGACAAACGGAATTAAGCATATGTTTTCACCACCTTATCATGCTCAAAGTAACGGCTTAGCAGAAAATGCAGTAAAAAATGTCAAAATGTGTATAAAAAAGGCATTTAAGGAAGGGAAAAATGTGGATATAGATGTGGATATGTGGATATAGATAAGCAACTACTGATCAACCTATACCTGGCTACGCTGACCGGCATAGACTCCAACGGCCTGGACACAGCTCAAATTAAATAATTAAAATGAAAAGTCTCAAATAAACACATTTATATTCTGGTTTTATCATCTGGCCTGAAGCTATTGAAAAAACAGCCACTGTCATTCCTGTTATGTACGTTCTTTTACTATGTTTGACAACTCCACATTTATAGAAATAAAAATATCAGTTGTCATATTATTCATAAACAAAAAATAATATAGAACGGTATTACCATTAATATATTTATTTAGAACATATACCAAAAAGCAATTGGCAACATCGCTAAAATCACGCACAGGCGCTCTTAATGTGACTGTCAAATCGAAAAAATTAATTGAAGGTCAATCACATACTTTGATTTTCTTTTACAGTATGTGAGGTCAACGCTGGGTTCATTTGTAGAGCACAAGAAATAGAAGCTAAAATCAAAACTAGATTGGATTTTTATCAAAATTTATCTGAGTAATGAATGTTGCATAAGCAGCAGGGATAACTTTGATTGAAATAACCTTAAAAGTATGAATAAAAGATGTTTAATGTAAAATAATTATTTTAAAAAGCCACAACCTCAAGAGAACTAATAATTAACCAGCCTATTATTAATAAATTATTATTAAAATAATTTTAAGGTAACTACCACATTATTTTTGCTTTTTCCTGGTTCACATAACCACAATAGCGCAGATCGTATAGTGTCTGACTTTTTTAACTTGGCATTTTGCGAAGCCGGTTCAATTCCCGATTATTTATCTTCTTTTTTTTTATTTTCCTTTTATTTTGAATATAAAAATTGGAAAAATACGAATATTGTTGTTTATTTATTTAAGATAGATGTTATTTATTGTAATATAACCCTTTTTTCGCTATTTATTTTGTAATTACGGTTCAGAAAAAAAAGTGAGTAGATAAATGTGTAATCATTATTAATAAATAAAAGTTTTTTTCGCGGTTGTTCAACTTATTTGTTTAAAAAAAAATCAACTAATAAAAAACATTATTGTATTCTAATATTTTTTGTACCTAATGTTATTTTATTTTCATCATTATATAAAATTGTTTCCAAATGGAACCATAATATTTTTAAATTTAACGAAGCACTATCTGCAAAACGTTATCAAAATTATTCAATAAGGCATAATAAAAAACAAATCTATACCAGCTACATCTTGATGGAATCTTTATAGCTAGATTTCTTAGTTTTACATTTTTTTGATAAGATTATTTTGTAGTCGTAGGAAAAATAGTGTACATCACTTGTGTGAAAGTGCTTTTTCACACTCGCATGATTGTCAACCTCGGCGTATGCCTTGCGCTAAAATATTTCCCACTCGTGTGAAAAGTGTCACTTTCCACATTCGCAATGTAATATACCAAAGCTTCTCTACAGCTACTTCTGAATTGTCAGTTTTGTGTTAATGAATGTTTTAATAGTTATTCAACCATAACTTATCAAAAAGCATCTTTAAATAAATTAAGGATTGGAGAAAAAGCAAAAAAAAGCATATCTACTTTTTTTAATTTTAATAAAAAAATATATAATTTATTAAGAATTATAAAAATTTGATTACGTGTACATTTATTTCACTTACATTTTTGGCAATAGTGAATAGGTAGTTTAAATATCGTCTTATAAAAACATTAATGAAATCATTAATAGTTTATTTATGCAAGAAGTGCAATAAACTCTTTTTGCACGAGTTGCATACAATATTTTTTCTACGTTCATGCAAAAACCAAAAAATGTTTTATTTAGGCGACACCAAGTGCAGAAGAATAAAAAGCATAATTTAAAAGCAAAATATTTAATTACTAATAATTAGCATCGATTAACATTGAAAAAGTACTATAACTATGTTAAGAAAAATAATTTAACCAAAACTTTAGGAACAACTGTGTTATGAACAATAATTAAGCTTAAACGTTGTTTTGCCACTAATATTAAAAGTAATTGTACAATTTTCAATATTAATATTTTTTACAAAGTAATACAATCTCACAAAAAATGAAAATGGACTAAATATTTGGCGTCAATTTAAATATTTATGTTTATCATGATCATAAAACGCTGTAGTAAAATGAGAGATGCGTGCAATAAAATTTTTATTGCACTAGTGCAATAAAGAACCAGTCTTTTTACTAAATATAGTTCAATAAAGTTTTGTTTTTTGCATGAACGTAGAAAAAAAATAATAAAACAAGTTTATTAAAAAAAAAAAACGAAGATTCTCGGCTATTACTCTACTGAAATTCACAAAAATCTAAACTGCAGTATTGTGTAAAAGTGACTTCTTTGAAACTTGGTACATAAAATTTTAACTCCAACTAAATTGACTCAAAAATATTCATTCTTATTTACATTTCAATATACCTATCTAGTTCCTTCCGCATCACCGTAGAGTAAACAAATTGCTACAGGCATAAGCGTGCAAACAAAGTTTATCTTATTTCATAATCAGTCAAAACAAGATAATTATTATTTCATAAAACAAATTTTCACCAACTAAACCAAACCCTCTATGTTAAATACCTAGGAATTGATTAGATACCAAACTCATAAATAGATCTTTAGATAAATATTCCAAAATGTTAAACTAAGTTGAAAAAGAACAAATTATCCCTCCTAGACAAATATGGATAAACATTTATCCTTTGTTTATTATTGTTAATATTTGTTCCTAGCATTTTTTAGTCAATTTTTATAAAAATTGTTGAGAAAATTTCACAGAATTTAAATACCAGATGTTTCTGTATAAAGACGGTTTACATTTCTTTTTGTTGTTCTTCGTCTTGACTTTACGAATTTAAAAATTGTTTATCAAAATTATTGACAGCTAGTAACAAAAAACTCAGAATCCCAACAAAATACGTCAAATTTATCTTATAGATTATGAAAAAACACTAGAAACTGTTAAAATAAGGAAACACGGTCCTATTTAATTATATCTTCTTTTATTGGATTATAAAAAAACTTGATAACTTTTATGTTGAACACAATTCTCTTTTAAGTGTGATGTGGACTCAAACTAAAAATATTGCTCCAAAATTTATTGCAGGTTAACTCATATGTGTCTCATATTTTACGAAGATAACAAAACAATTAAAATGACACTATAACTGAAACCCAAGTATGAAGTGATCATCAAAAAATGTCTCTAAAGTAGACCTTAGAGAAAATTAAACATGTCTTTGCTTACAATTTAATTTAGTTATGTGTAATTATCACATATATGACTTGTATTTCTGGATACCTTAAAACCATTTTTTCTGGATCACGCGTTAAAGTTGAAGGAATTAGGTTAGGGACACATTTTAAAATTGCTGACGTATATCGCACACACATATATGACGATTGGACTAGCTTTATTTACTCTAGAATGATACCAATTGTAGGTATTCCACCTCACTTCTTAATATTTATTATTTCAGTTTCAGATTCCAGTCGAAGTATCACCGTGGTTCTTATCACCGTCTTTCATATCGTAGCTGCCCTTTCTATTCAAAAAGTAGGCTAATTTCCAAATCCAGGGATGAATTAGGTCCTCGCTACATTTGTCCGTGTCACTTCTTGTAAAATATGATACTAGAGATCCAAAAAATACCGTTACAAAGCAGCCGATGCAGGTGTAGTACATGTAAGTGATTGAGTACAATGAGTACAATGGGTTTCTGTAAAAAATAAATATTAAAAATTAATACAAAATGTTTTTTTAGACACTGAAACACGTAAATTGATTTTTCGTTGGACGTATTTATTGTCGATAAAGTGAATTTTTTTTCTTTAACTTCTTAACTGCAATCCTACCCAACTTTTTTTAAAATGCGTGTGTAGGGCCATTGAAAAGCTCGTGAAAAATGGAATCTCACCATATCCTTATTTTTTTACTTATGTGATTATTGGGAAATGAGAAAAAAAAATCTTTTAGAAACAAAAAGTTACAAATACCTTTCTAATACTATTGGCGGGTGAATGAACGTAGCAGATGTTGAAAATGTCATCTACCCTCTACTTGTCAGGCTCCCAGGCTATGGAAAAACCCGTCTGTAGAATTTCGAATAGCCTCAGCCGATATGTTATTTGATTCTACTCTAATTCTGTTTTTTAGATCATCAATATTAGCCGGCCTATTTTGATAAACCTTGTCTTTCAGATATCTCCAACGAAAGTAATCTAATGGCGTTAAATCCGGGGACCTCGGTGGCCATACCACGTCCTTCAATCCAGCGTCCTGCAAATATTTCATCGAGATATTCTCTGACATTAATACTAAAATGTGTCGAAGCGTCGTCCTGTTGAAGCCAGTGTTTCATTGGGGATATCTGGATCTAATTCGTTGGCAAACATAACAGCTAGAGCAGGTACGAATTCAAATCTTAAAAAATTTAAGTAGTGTTCAGCATTAAGGTATTCCTCAAAAAAATATGAGCCTAATATTCTGTTATTGATGATACGTGCCCATACATTTACTTTTTGAGTACGATGCGTATGAGCTTTACATATCCAGTGTAGATTTTTCTGGGTCTAGGAAAATTTCCCGACAATAATTCCCCGATAACAATTCCCCGACAACAATTCCCCGACTGGAAAATTCCCCGGTTGGAACATTCCCCAACAAAACAATTTCCTGACTGGAAAATTTCCCGACAAATATATTCTATCATATAAAATATATATTGTGGTTCTGAAAAGAACCATTTGTAATACAAAAAAGTCGTTATCCATGAATCCTTTCTCAGTAATGAAGGTTGGAACTTTCTAGAGATGCACTGGGAGAAATGGAAAAAGCATCCACAATGTTTTGAAGCTGGAAATTCTTCGGTAAAACAATTTATCATGCCAGTTTCAAAATCTATGAGGATGGTACTTGGTGACACACCAGCCATAAATTCTTTTAATCTTTGCAGCAAGCGAATACATGAATTTTTTGTTTTATCTGGTAACAGCACATACACCAATGAAACTGAAATGTTCTTTTAAGCCATGTAGCGCAAACAGTTGATAAAACAAGTGTGGTACTGTTTTAAATGTTCCATCATTGTACCAATGTTTGCTTTGAGCTAACAGTGAAATATTTTTTCTCGTACTAAAAATTAGTATTATGTCAATTGTTCGTCTAGACGCAGCATGATTGTGGGCCAATAAATCCGTTGACAAATGTGGATCTTTCTGCAGAGATAAGGAAATGTCCTTTTTTATATCTTCGTCCAAAACATGTGGCTGGCCACTTCTGGGCAAGTCCTTCACAGTACCATGTTCTTCAAATTTGTGGAAGATCTTACTAACAGTACCCTGTGAAATATGATTCTCCTGATATTTTCCATTAAATAAAGTACACAATATCAAGACTTCGATACGCTGTTTCTCTGAGAGTACCATTTTCGTCTAATAAATTAAAAGAAAACACTTTCAAGATCCGCAAATTAATAAACTAGACGTTTTAATTCAATTGTACACACAAATGCTAAAAACTGAGCCCAAATATTTGTCAAAGCAAGAAACTTGTTACAAAAAATGCAACAACTTTTTTCCTTCTTGAAGTACACTGCTCAATCAACAATTGCTTAGGAATTAACTCATTTTACGTTTCAGTTTTTTTCTGAAAATATAAATTCCAGCGAATATTGATGCTAGGTTGCGTTATCAATTTTAAACATGGTAAATTAATACAATTTTGTATTCTTACTGTCCAGGCTCGCCTGTTTTTAATAAAAACTCATTCAGAATTAAAGATAGCCTACCGATATTAGGTTTTATCATCGCCTGGGAGCCTGCCAAGTAGAGGGGTTTTAAAAAATTTTGTTTGTAATTTCTCAATAACCTCATGAGTAAAAGAAAAAGAAAAGGGAATTGTAAGATTTCATTTTCAGCTAGCTTTTTAATGACCCTACACACGACATACCTTGATCTCTGTGTAAATGAACTTGATTATTTTTAAAGATAGGACAACAAATATATTTAAAAACCAAGAACAGATATTTATAAATAAAGCATTCGATATATTTGACCATTCTATTTTAAAATACCTCCTTCTATAATAAATGGATAAACAAATGATTCAATTAAAATTTTATCTACACCACATTAATCTGACCATCAACAGAAATAATAAATTATTACAAATACAATTTGCTTTAAGGACAGCGTCTCCTAGGAATTTCTGAACAAAATTATGTCACTTTAGATTCAATCAAGGAGGTGCTGTTACCTACCGACTAGAGATTGAATTAGTGCAAATTATTACAGAAATCTTTAAGTAACTATAAATATCGACCGACTAGCTATTAGGGGATATTGTATTATAAACCGGTTTTTAGTAGACTGAGTTCGAAGAATCATAATAATAGTCCTGAACATAAAATCTATTTTTCAATAATTGCCGGGATTTCACCAAATAAAAAAAATTATTTCGCGATTGTGAAAACGGTCCAATCGTTTTATATGCCATTTATAATATTATAAAAATGTTAACTCTAGGACTCATTTTGGAGTATGAGCATACTTTATTTCAATACTTTTATTGTACTGTTTCATAAAATATTACCTACTTATTACATTTTATTTTTATCGAAAATTGACTTTGTTTCCTGGACCAAAGTAAAGAATGTAGATGGTAACAACCAAAACGATATCTTGCCTTACATTAAATATAAATATTTCCTAAAATAAATAATTTGGTTTATATACGGGTAGTAATACGAGGGATGTTTATAATTTCAAGTCACGAATATAGAGTCGTTTCAAAATATATTGCGACAATAATTGCGTCACATTGAGTCGGAGTGGGACGCTTATTGACGTGTTGCAATTCGCAATATATTTTAAAACTATTCTACCTAATTAATAAATTGTGATTTTGAAGTATCGAATGAAAACTATATTCTCATTGGTTAAAGATGGAAGTTTTTGTCATTTGAATGTTCAAGAATATTAATTGTGATTAATTGGTTAAACACCGAAGTTATCTGTTATCTGATGTTGGTACTAACCTAATGTTTTTGGGTAATTTTGACTGTCATTTCCTGGAATTTCCAGACCCGCATAAATATTTATCCTATTAAAGTACAAAAACCCTACAATAGATATTATGAGTAGGTATTTAACATTCATATATCTTATCTTATCTTAGGTAGTTATTTCCCTGATTGTCAATAACACATTACCGTATATCTGTGCCAATATGACGTCACGACTTTTAATATACTTAATGAAGGCTGGGGGAAGGAGTTAAGAGTCTATAAATTTACAAACAAGCTTACGGGTATTTAGTTTTCAAAATTACATTACACGTTTCTAAAGTGTTTTATTGTGCTGTTTGTTTTTAATAAGTGTTATTTTCTTTAATAGAAAATTTATTTATTTGTGCCAAGTGTCCTAGTGTACATTTTAATCAGTTTTATTTTTGGATAAATTGACATCGACTTCCTGCATTAAAGGTAGGTAGTATTTTTTTTCTATCACTCTCGAGTTCGTCATTGAATAAAAAAATTAAACGCTATAATTTTAACATTCAAATATTTGCAATTAAAAAATAATATTACGTATTAAATTGACAATAAAAAAACTTGTTATTTAATAATAATGTTTCATTATTCTGAATATATTTTTTCTACGATTAATATCCAAAGTAGGTAGGCTTTTGCACATTAAAATCTAAATAAAAAGTTGACGTTTTCTGCGAATTGTCATAATTTGACATTATTGGCGCACATTACCTAATATTCAAACCCATTTCCATGCTTAAAAATAGAAGATAGTGACATTCATTTAAAAGAAAACCATAACTACTTTTACCAGGTGAAAAATTTCAATACGTTAAAATAATTCATGATTTTTAAGAAATGTGCTAGAAATGATACTACAATATTAATATTCTTTTTATGTTTGATTTTCTAATAATGATTTTATATACTTTTAGATTCAAGGACAGCTAGGTATAGCTCCAAGAAAATTGTGCTACTTTATAGTATATACTGGAGATGAAAATCCACTATTTGTTGAAAAAATTAATTTTCAACCCATTTTTTTTTTAAATATGGTTGAAAAATTAGAAAAATTTTACTCGGAATATATGGCACCTGAGATAATTTTAAATAGAAGAGGACGAGGATTAAAATGTCTGGATACCCCATATAATGAAAATTAAAGTGCAAAGATTAGCAAATTTATAAAAATAATAATTTAATGGACTTTAATCATACAAGTACTTGAAATAATGGTTTTTTGCGCATAAGCATGTTCATACGTAATTTGCAATTGGTAATCACTAATCACAGATGGAAAAGTATATACGTCAACGATACGTTCTTTTATTTTTGATTTATTTTAACAGGTATAATATATGGTATGTTACTTATAGTATAGATTTTTTATTTCTTGACCTAATTTATTTGTTACGTCTTCAGCAATTGTCGCTTTCAGTTGACATAAACGAAATTGATAAAAAGTATTTTTCGCATTTTATTTTGACTGTTTCTCTTACTTTCGAATAGAAACTGAGCTTTGTAAACTTAAAATGACGGATATGTCAAACTAAAACTGACGGTAAAATGAAACATTGAGTATCGTTAAATGCAACTTTTGAACTAGTTTCAAAAATAGCATTAAAATGATATCATTCACAATGTACTAATTTCCTATACTTTTAGTTGATAAATAACCGATAATCATAACATAACAAATAGGCGCGTGTCAAAAGGTCACCGGCGAAAAAAGAGTGCCGATGAAAAAAGGTCGTTTCCAATTGTATCATATAAACAGTATCAGAGGCAGTATTATCATCTCGTTTATCCCCCGTAAACACACATAATATAAACGGAAATAATCAAATACTAGTCAAAATATTATCGATCGGAGCACCATCTTTATTACATTACATGAAGTAATTATTGATTTTTCGGGGTTTATTTAGAGTTAAATTAGACGCCATTTTTGGTCCAAATTCGTTTTGACATGTTTTTTCAAAGAAAGTGACTTATAAATTTCAAATCTACACGTTTTGAAAAATATACAATATTTAAATATTCTGAGTGTACCAAATTCCAAGTAAAGGTTGAACTTAGGTCGTATTACATTTTTTTTTTATTATTTGTTTGACATCGAGGTTAAAATAAATCTACACGGCACCTTTGAGATGAAATAAAAGGGGGTTATTTTACACGATTGGTTTTTATTGAAAATAATAAATTTATTAATTTTCAATAGTAAGGTGACCTAAGTTAGACCTTTATTTTTAATTTGGCCAAAAATTAGATTTTTAAACACTACATATTCGGAAAACTGTCGATTTAACTTTTGGTCTACACATACACTTTTAATACACAGGGATACCCCGTCCTTAATTAAAATATGGAAACAACGGATATACCTGCATCTGATGCCGATGATGTAGATCAAGCAATAAAAAAATAACAAATTAATAATCGATGATCCATACATAATTTTAATTTAATTATAAATAAACGTTTGAAAAATCAGTATTAAACTGAAACATTTGATATTTAAATATCAATAACGTTGTTACTAAAAAACACAATATGAATATTCATTATATGAAATAATTTGTTATGCTGTATGTTTTAAACAGTCAGTAACTTTTTTTTTAGAGTTTAAACGAATGATACCTTAAAAGTTTTATTTAAATTTGGAAAATGTTGAAGTAATGTAAAAATTGGCAGCTAGAGGTCTTATTATAGGAAACATGGTGTCTAAATAAATACCATAGCATTGGGTGAAAATATAATTCTACCAATGAAAATTTGAATGAAAACTATCCACTCCAAATAATTTTAAATATTAGACATTTATCAAAAAATACAACAATATGTCAAAAATCATATAAAGAGGACATTAATACTCGTTGCAACTTTTAACCTCTCCTCCTTATATTTTTTTAATGAATTAACTAATTTATTTTATTTTTACCGAATGTATAAATAACAGATTCAATTTATGAAACTTTTATACAATAATATAAATAATGTTACAAATTAAAAATATTGAAATAAAAAAATATATATATATAAAACTGTTTATACAGTTTAAAAATGCAGAAATACAAAGAAGTCATGTGTTCAAAAATGATCACAAATACTTCAAGGTATAGATGTATGTTATGTTGATAATGGGGTGTTAATACACTGCGACCTAAAAGATCTATTGTGCCCCCTTCTGTCGCCACTGCACTAAGGAAATGTCTCAATGCCTATAGCGACCCTTCCAATCCTATTTTCTCAAGGAAGTGAAGGATTTGAAGTGGCTTCAAGTTAGGTAAGTCTCCCTCTTCTATTTGATATCCTCCTAGATATAGTGCCCTTGGATTCTGGAGTGCTACACATTCAGTTAGGATATGAATGGAGGTTTCGTCCTCCTCCTCACAGAATCTGCAATCACTATCCTCTACTACTCTCAGTTTACTTAGGTGTCCTTTTAGTCGGCAGTGCCCGGTAAGGATCCCTGTTACAATACGTAGCCTGTTCTTGCTCAGGCAGATGCAGGCTTCCGATCTTTTTTGGTTATATTCACCCAGAAGTATCTTGGCCTGTCTCAGCCCCAAGAGATTCTTCCAATTATCGGTTCTTCTACTACCCAATTCTTTTTTTAATCTCTTCTAATATTATGTTACTGCTGATACCGCAGAACGGCTCAGGTCCTACAAAGGGTGTTTGAGCCCCTTTCCTTGCAAGACTATCTGCAATCTCGTTACCCTGTACCCCGTTATATCCCGGGACCCAAGTGAGAGGTATAGATGTAATACCAAGGCATGATTTTAGCTTCGACTTTTGAATAGTGGCAACGTTAGCTTCATTAGTGTTGTATATTGTAAATTTTACTGATACGCCACTGTGATATTTCTTATATTGATTTGTTATCGCTCAGGTAGCACATCGATAGGTATGAACAACATTAAAAGGATATCATTTTTGTATTAACAGTTAATAAATAAAGAACATAAAGTGGTGAGTTTGATTCTTCCAAATTGAAGGCTTCAAGTGTTGTATAAACTTCACGTTAAGGACAATATAACAATTAGAATGGCTTTTTAATAATTCCTTTAAATGGTTTAAGGCATCTATGGGATATTAGATATATTTAAACTGTTCTCAGATAATATACTAGGTTCCTATATGAGGTATGTTATCTACGTTTACTTAGCAATTGAATACTAAACTCAGATCTTTGTTATTGACAGGAGATATATATTGTATAAACACTATACTTTTACAGTGTATTATCTATAAAAAAATTCAACTGGTAACTCTCTATCTTTGGTACAGTTATTGTCTGTACTTTTAACGCCAGTACGTGCTCCCTCAAACTAAGTTATGCTTTCCATACAAAATGCTAAGCAGCTCGATCTTAGAAGGTGTTCTTTGTTACCAAATAGAAAAGGTAACGCGATCTATTTTAAAGTTTTAATACTTTTCCAGGTGCTGGTAACTGACCTTGAAGTTCTGGCAATCGACCAAACTTCTTCTGAAACACAGAAGCCAGACTTCCAGAGGTCGAGCGTCATTAATGCTGGTTGAAGTGCAGCAAATAGTCCTTAGGAACCGTAAGTCTTGTTGTTGCTCGTTTGTAACACTATATATTGCTTTTCCGATACCTCCATATCTATTAATAAATTTTTCAAAGCCAAGGTCAGGTGTTTCTTGCGAGGTGGTTTACTTCTTACTCATCATGGTCACCCTCAAATGGCGTAGTTATAGTGCACTACCTTTGGTAAAACCGTTCGCGATCTTACTTATACTGTAAATGACATGATTGATTTTTTTTTTCTAAAAAGGTACGGATCTTTTCAAGACCTCTGAAGGTTCGGTAAATAACTCTTCTGTCTTCTTGGGTTATGAAGCCAGACTCTGTGATCTTCTTTGAAGTATCTTTCCGTGGCTTGAGTATCGTATCGCTTCTTCATTCTATCGCTGGCGATTTAAAGATGCGATCGAACTAACTCATGCATGTCGTCCATTTTTTTTCGTAGCTCGATCACATATTCTTCATCGACTATATCTTTTCCAGGTCGGCATCCAAACTTGAGGTCACACGGTAGTCTTATCTCACGCCCGAACAGCACCTTTGCTGGTGTTTGGCCTGTAGATTCATTGACATCAAACCTATATGTCTTTAATTCCAATCTCGCTAATGGTTGGAAACTACTTTTGAAAGCTGGCTTTTAAAACTTCTGCCTTGGTTACTGTGGATCTTCAAGGGCACTCCAAATCTACTGATATATTTTTTTATTAACAAGTCTGCAACAGCTACGGCCTCTTGATTTGGAATGGCGTAGACTTCCATCCACTTCGTGAAATATTCAATAACTACCATCATGTATTTATTATCATCCTCGGTCGTGGGGAATGATCCAGCAAAATCTAAGGCAATCATTACAAAAGGCCTACCGATGTTGTACTGCTTCATTGGGCCACATTACTGGTGTGAAACTGACACAAAACTTTCAAAAGCAGGTAAAATGCCAGTAGCAGCAAAAAATAAGTTAAAAGCAGCAAAGAGAAAAGTGGTAGTAGAATCATCTAACGAAGATGACACCATTTCTATTGTTTGCTGCAATAATTACAACAACAGTTAACCAGGGGAAGTGTGGATTCAATGCCGTAAATGCAAGGAGTGGGCACACGAAGAATGCTTCAGATTCTACGTGTCACCACTGCGATTCTGACAATGACTAAATGACAGTCAAAACAATGAAAATTGCAAATAAGCGCTGTAAGTTTTTCTAAACGGGGTACATTGTAACAAATTCAATGCTTCATAATTTCTTGAACCAACCAAAGAGTTTCAAATGATATCAGGTAACTTTAACAATTGTTTACATAATAAAATATGGACAGTGGAAATTTTGAAAAGTAAAAAGTAATTGACAAAAAAATCAAAATCCCAAAAATGTTACAACCTACCCCGTTCTCCCCCATATAATATTGAACCTAATTTATTTTCTATGTACAAAATTTACCTCATGAAATGTTGATTTTTATCAGTACAAAAATTTGTATCCAACGTGGCTTAAAATTACTTACAATTTATATAAATAATTATAATACTTTGTTAAAAGTAATACGTAAAATACTTACTCAGACTTCGAAAGATCTTCTTGATAAATTTTCGAATAATTATATTGATACGCAGGTACGGGAATTGCTTTAAAATTTTCCGGCCCGTAAATGTGACGGCTAAAATATGTTTCGTTGCAGGCGTCGGTCTTCAGCGGCAAATAAGGCGTCGGAGGTTTGTCAATAATAAATGCTCCTGTTGCTATCCAGAACGTAATCAAGTGGCCGAGTATCACTCCGAACGAGGCACCCTGAAAGGGAAATCAGAGTTGAAACGCGTGAAATGCCAAAAAAGGGTCGTTACTTTGTATTTATTATGTAAGATAGAACTGGCGTTTACCACAAAGTCTAGTTTGCAAAGGATGAATCAGGTTAAAAAGGAACATGTTATACTTGATTATACCATAATTTTTTTTTAGGAAATTCGTATATTTTTAGAGTTTATAACACTTTATTTTGTAATTTTGGTTAGATATTCTTTTAAGATATATGAAACAGGGATTTTTTTTTTTACAAATATTTTCTGAACTCAAAAGTCGGTTTATTTATTTATTTATTTATTTTACAATAATGTATCTAACTACAAAAAAAGCAAATTATGAAATGGTTGTAAAACAAAACAATAAAATATGATATGGGATAAGAAGCAAAACAGCAGTATCCCAAGTAGCACACGGTGGGTTTATAAAAGGTGTAAGAATATTCTTAAAGCAAATTTTTATAAGAGAATAGGATTTATAATTTTACTTGTAGATAGTCTTACAGAAATGGCAAAAGGATTTATAGTTGTCCGCAATAACGTAACTATAAATCTATTTTGTTTTATTGAAACTATTAGACAGCAGAAATTGCTCTAAACCAGTGCTAACAGTTCCTATAAATGCCAAATGATCTTATAATTTTTTACAATAACACAACAATAAAGTCATTTTGCTCTGTACTAGTGCTAATAGTTCTTGTAAATGCCAACAAATGGTTTTATAGTTGTTTACAATAACACCACAATAAAGTTTTTGCTCTCTCGAGAACTATAATGTGTCCATTTACCAATATATTTATTTTTACGAGTTTAAAGGTTAGATTTAATCCAGCATTTTTATTCTCGTTCCTAGTTGTGGTGCGTTAAAACGTTTAATATTGTAAAAATGATTGAAAAGGTCAAGATTCAGTTTTCAGTGTAAGATGTCCATTTTTTTTAACTCAAACATCAACAACCCAATAGCGTGTTAAAATTGGCTCTATTAAACCTGCGGCAGGAATATTTTTGTGTTCTTTGAGAGCATTTTACCTCATTGATGTTTTTTAAGTGTTACTAATACAGCAGTAATAAAGGCTTTTAAAGGATACTTTGTAATTGCTATGCTATGCTCTCTTAAATATAGTTCTTTGTAGCTGCAATGAGAGTATTTTATATTTGTTGAAACAATTTTGCTTTATACATGTTGCACAAATTGCCTTCCCTTGTAAGTGTAATATAATGTATCTTATGGTTATATCAAACAGCATGCTTTACGAATTTGCACGTTTTACTTATCTTTAAAATGTTACTAAAGATAAATATATTATAAAACCGTTATAAATCAAAAAGCCTTAAAACAGAAATTGGTGTTATAGATACGGCTTATAGCTGTTCTTAAGAAATACTTAGTATCTCTTATAAGAAAAATGTATAACATATAATAAATATGCTGTAAGAATATTTATATAACAATATTATTGTCAATATTGAATTTTTGAGGCAACTGTAAAACCTTTATAAGAATTGAATGTTCTATAATTCAAAGGTTATAAGAGAAGTGTGCTGATTGGGATGGTAGTTGCAATACTTTGAGTGAAATATATAACAACTACAAAAATTCAATAGAATATATTACATATTATACATATTAAAAAACTAACCTTACTATTGGCAATAGGAACCAACATAGCCAGTACGAACACTCCCAACAAAGGTCCAGAAGTAACAGAAGTTACTAGCATCGAAGCTTCTATAACCCCATCCAACATACTGACTAGAAAACTCATACCCATAATGATTAAACCGTAAACCACTCCAATCGTCTTGATCGTCCACAGCTCATACGAATCCTTCAATCCCTTCATAGCTGGTAACGGTTTCAGAAAATCTTCAAAAGTTACAGTCGCCAAGGAGTTTACTATTGATACATTTAAACTAAAAAAATGTCAACGATGAAATAAATAGATACTCTAAAAATAAAACAAGGGTTTAAAGTGGTATCAAGAGTGAAAAGTATTGAAGATAAAGTTGATTTTGTAATGTATTCTAAATAAGGTCTTGTTGTAAACTCACACGTAGATATACTAATTTTTTTGTAAGAATTTAAATTTTTTACAAGTATCAGTGGTAATATTAAACAGATGAGTATGTTAAGAGAGAGATAGAGAGAAAGAGCAAAGGATAAAGTCCTCATTAGACACACTCTAAGTATTTGTAATCAAAAACAAGGGTATGCGTAGGATGATGTTTTTTGGAGGTATTGAATAAATGTGTTTACAGTTATACATTTCCCTTTTTTTTAATTCAACACATAATCATCCATACGTTTTGGAAGTTTTGTTTCTCGCTGAGACTGCCTGGTAGCTGACTGTATACTAGGTGTTGAAGGCGGTGTTGAATCTATGGTATTTTCCTGTTCGACAGTTAGGTCATGGGTGGTCGAACATATTCAATATCTAAGGTTTCATAATTTTCTTTTGATTCAGTTTCTTTTAAATGATTATTGGAAAATAAAGTAAATTCATTCATGAGAACCAACGGCAAGGACTTACAACAAGAATTTGAAACTGAATTATTTTTTAATAACATGTAAAATACCTCACCAATTCGTTCTATAATAGCTCCCGGGGTCCTATTGAAAGAATTGTTTCTATATATCTTTGCAAAAACTAAATCACCAACTTTAAACTGTCTTACTCTGGCTCCATGTTTACGATTGAACTGTTCATTTACAAAATAAGTAGTGGATTGAGTTGGTTTTAACATGTCCAGTTGGGTTTTTATTTTTCGGCCCAACATAAGTTCTGCTGGTGACATCCCTGTAGTTTTATTGGAAGTAGCACGATAATTCCATAAAAATATGTGCAATACTTCTAATAACCCCTCCTCCCCTTTAAGTTTTTTGATACCTCGCTCAAAAGTATCCACAAAGCGTTTAGCTGTCCATTAGACTTAGGGTAAAAAGGTGCTATTGTAATATGTTCGACACCAAACTCTTCACAAAATTGTTGGAATTGAGAACTGATTAATTGGGTTCCATTATCTGAAACTATTAAATAACAAGACCCGAATCTTGCAAATACTTCTCGCAGTATTGACTGTATTCTTAGCAGTTATTGATGTTGTTAGAATACCTTCTAGACATTTGGTATATGCATCGATCATTACCAAGAAATATTGTTTATCTAATTGTGCATAGTCAATATGTACTCGGTGCCATGGTTTTTGTGGTGTAGGCCAAGACTTTAATTCTGTTTTTGTTTGAGACTTTGCAACTGATCCACACTGGCTACAAACTTTGACAAAGTGTTCGATATATTTATCTATATTTGGCGAGATGAACATATGATCGTTCTAACGCTTTTATGCGTTCTATTCCTGGATAGGCACGATGAAGTTAACAAAGTACTGACCTTCTTTATTTAGAAGGAATTATGATCCGATCATTGAACATTAAGCAATCATCAATTTCCAGCAATGACTCTTTTCTGTTAAAAAAAGAGAAAATAGTCTTCTATTAAGTTATTTGAATGTGGCCAATTCGAGTTAATAAAACCTTTCACTTGCTGAAGAACTGTATCCGAAATTGTTGAATCTTGAATCATTTAAAAAGTGATTGGTAATTTTGATGTTGTTTCTTGGATAATTTGATAGATCACTTCATCTAATTCTACTGAAGCAACTACAAATTCCTCATCAATCTTGGTGTGTTCGTGTATTAGTCTAGACAAAATATCTGCGTGACCAAAATCTGATGTATTGATGTATTTAATATTAAAATAATACATCATTAAAAGTAATGCTCATCTTTGCAACCACTTTGCTATGTGGATTGGGATGCCCTTTTTGGAACCAAAAATTGTTATTAATGGTTTATGGTCAGTTTCAAGGATACATTTTCTGCCAAAAATCATTTTGTGAAATTTTTGGGTTGCAAAGATCATTGCTTATGCCTTTTTCTCTATTTGGCTGTATCTTTTTTCCTGTTTCTTAAGAGTTTTTGAGCTTAAAAAATATTCTTGCAAACACTGACATAACATGAGAAGATTTTTGTCATGTTCAGCTTCTGTTTTTCCCACCACGATGATGTCATCTAAGTATGCGCTCGCTCTTGGCAACTTTTGAATTATCATATCTATAATGTCTTGAAATGATTCTAGGGCACACTTTATTCCGAAGGGAAGGCTGTTGAACTGAAATAGTCCTTTATGGGTATTAATAGTTCTGTAAGTTTTGATATATCTTTTTGGGTAAAAGTAACTTGACTGCAAATAAAATTAATGGGTATGTCCCATAGTTGGAATTCATCAATACAATCTATACTCATTAGGTTCAAGCGTGGAAGTGCTGATACAAAACATCTTGTACTTATCGTGGAATCTTGGAAGGATACGTTGCATTTAAGTTCCGATTCCAACTGAATTGAAGTACCGGTTGCACTGTTAGCTAACCGTTCAGATGGTTTACTTTCTGGTTTTCCCAATTTAACCCAATTATCTTGACAAATGATGGTGATATCTGATGCTAAATGAAATTGTAATTCTATGGGAATACCATTAATATGCACTGTGATATACTTGCGATTTGATGCACCATCTACTTTGTTACGGTTCGTTTTTGTTTTTGATTAAAACACAGTCATAAACTTTACCATCTTTTATCCGATAACTGCGAGTTATTACTTTACCTGTTCTAAATATTTAATTTACCCAATGTTTGTTGTTTACTTTGTTCTAACCTGCAAATATGGGTCAAAAAACAGCTGTTCGGAGAACAATGCGGCCGTTGACCGCAGAGCGATATCTGGGTTACTGTCACAAATTAGCGGAGTTCAGGTATCGATACTCTGCGTTATCAGTGGCAGTTGGTTTTCGATGCAAGACTGGTGTACGTTGTGTTCTGTAGATTGAGATCGAACTAGTTGCGTTTCTTTCTTATTGTTGGGTTGGTGTTCCGTGTATTAGCAACTTATGATTTTTGATATTCCAAGCCCGATGGTCTGTCATTTTTGGTCTTGTCACTTTATGGCTGGTATGGTGGTGAATAACGTTTGGTAGGTTTTTCAAATATATGTGACGAAGTGTTGGTTATCCGATAAGGGATTATTTTGGAGTCTACCTATTAGACCAGGAGAATTTTATAGTCTTGAGTTTTATGGATTAAGGGATTAATTGCTGTTCATCATCCAGTCCAAATCTGTACACATGGTGCTGATCTGTTAAAAACCCCAAATTGGTTAAGTTGGGTATGTATATACGTATTCGTTTTTCTATTTAGTAATTGTCTCTTGTGAGCGCATATTCTCACTTATGTATAAAGTTATAATGGGAATTTTCATTACAGCGTGGGGGGTTATTAAGTTTGATTTTTAAAAAAGATACACTTATACTCTTAAGTGTCTGACGTATAATCTATTTCGGTCCTATTATTTACTTAGTCGTGATTTTAGAGTTTTTCTTTTACCTTGTGGTGTTTCCTTACCACTACAGACGGTTTATTGTATGCCCACGAACACCCTGGAAGGGTTGAGAGTGACCAAATGTCTGGGGACCTAGTTTTTGAAGGGTCTGGATCTGCGGAAAGGAACCAGTTATATTTGGTTGTGTAAGCGTATATAAGTTTTTAAGTTTATTTGTAATAACCATGTCATAAACACGTGATGAGGTCATAACGCGTTATTAGGTCATAGGTTAGGTTAAGTTATTGGGATCCCTTTAATTAGTGTACATACTGTTATTTTGTTTCCACGCTGTATATTAAATATACTTATTTTGTTTTATAATTACCTGGCTTTAGGATATTTGTGAATTATTTTAATTTGTTTTATTAAAATTCCACCTAGTTTCATTTTTGGTTATGTAGTTGCCTGGTGCATTTTAATTAGACCCTAAGTCTAGGTATCAACCAATTTGGTGATTTGATGGTTGATTCAATACTCCTTGAGGGTATTTTGCCGTCAAATTTAACGTGGTGCCCTCCTTCCAACTTTTATGTATTGTGGTTTGGCGCAGAGGTGGTTGGCAACATGGCAACTTGATTTACTGTCATGACGACATTGGTCGAGTGTTTTATTTTCTTGAAGGTTTTTTCTTGTAAACTAATTGCATTGGCCATCTTTGTGGCCCATTTCGTTACACTGTGTACATAAGTGCTTTGAATACGTGCAATCCTTTACATATTGCATTTGTCCACATTGCCAGCATGGAGTATTAGGTAGTTTACCTTGATTAATTACTTGCTTGTTTTGTCTTGTGAACTTATGTGTAAAAGATTTGAAAGTGTTTAAAACTGCATTGACTGTGGATGTGTCAATAGAATGTGTTTTATTCTTAATTATAGCAGTATCTTGTTTTAAATTGAGTTTTTGTTGACATTTGGAAACTCTCTTCCAAATTTATTAATTTCTTAGGATCATTCAATTCAGCAAGTAAGATTGTACGAATATCTGCATCAACTGATGATTGTAGACCAGAAACAAAAATAAGACATTTAAATTGATTTTCGTCGAGTTCTTCTAGATTGAAATTTTTACAATATTTGTTGATAATTCCATCATATGTAACGAAATCATTAGATGGGTTTTTGTTAATTAATGACATTTAAATCTCAGATGGAAAAGTGAGATAGTTCGTCCAAAAATTGTTCTCAATTTATTAATTGTTTCTATAAAATTAAACTATTTTGGCTGTTTAGGTAAAATGAAGTTGACATACCTACTATGTGCCAAAGTATTTAACTTTTTAAGTAGTAGTCTAACTTTTTCAGAGTCTGTTAGGACTTTAGCATCTTCAGAAAATTAATTTTCAGATCTACTGATCCAAGTTTCAAATGTAATACCAGAATCGGCGTCATAGACAAATTTCACTCTGTTACTAGCTAATGATTCGAATATAAGTTCAGTATTGCGCTTGAGCTGTGCAAGTTTGGTAATTTCTTTCATAAATTTTTGTTGTTGCTCAACAAGTTAGAGAAAAGCTGCTTGAAATTGATCCATATTCTTCGTAACTTAAGAATGTAAAAAGGGAATTAGACTGAAAAGGTGAAGGATACGTGAAAGATACGTGAAGGATACGTGAAGGATACGTGAAGGATACGTGAAGGATACGTGAAGGATACGTGAAGAATACGTGAAGGATACGTGAAGGATACGTGAAGGATACGTGAAGGATACGTGAGTTCCACTTACTCGTCCCCACAAATATGTTGTATTTCCACTAATAACAACATAAAAATACTAGTAGTACTAGTAGTACCAGTGTTTAACATTATCAGAATGACAAAACTAAAAAAAATATGTACAGCGTGTTCTAACAGTTACTATTTCTTCCAATTTTCAACCTTTTTTATTATTTTTTGTTAATATTACAGAGCTCTGTAATATTTACTTATTCATATTTTTTTATTTTTTAAGTAGTAATTTGTACATTTGTATTTTTATATTATGAAATAGAAAATTTACAATATTATCAATTTTTGATTCAATATTAAACAGACTTCCAGGTCATTTATAATATTTATGTAATACGGGGGCTTGAAAAAAAAAACAGCTCTCGAATAAGTATGTAAAGAGTAAAGTCGAATTTTCAACGTCTGAATTACATGTTAACCTACATAAAAAAAAATTCAAAACCATTAGCAATCGTAAATCGTTATACCTTCATTTAAAAATGTTTTATTATACATTGTCGCATTTTTCACGATCGCGATTCCGTTCCAATTCCACATGGGAGATGGAAAAGAAACTGCCGAGAGCGAACAGTTATTAATATTACGTCTGTGAAAAAACTTAATTACGGCATTTGTCACCAACCTAAGTGCTCCATTAAAAAGAGTGGCCATAAACAATCCCAACAGGCCTGGAAAGAAGCTGAATCGATCTTCGACGTAAAACGGCAGAATTTCGTCCAAGTTTTTGATGTAACCGTACGACAGGGGATCGCAATGTTCGTACACGGCGTAGATTACCATCCCTACTACCCATGACAGGCTGAATAGTACCGTTATTACTGGCATGTTGTACATTAGGGTCCTAAAAAAATCATTAAAATTATGCTCCGGAAGACAGATATAGCCAAAGCCGCAAAGATCTTGTGTACAGTTCGTTCCGATTTTTTGAGGTGATCATTTGGATACTAATACATTATAGTCGAAGTTGTACATTTTAAGAAGTTGCCCAATATAATCGCAGTAAAAAATTGCTTTCTGAATGCATCGTTTTGTGAAACTACACATTTTATTTTGAAATTTACGCAAGAATCAGATTTTTATAAAGTACAAAAACAAGTGAATTCGTTGAGAGGTAGTGCATATACAAGAATTTAAAACCATTTGTTTCAGTTCTGAGTAATAAAGAAATGTACCTTACTATTTTAAGTGCTTGATAGAACTATTGGTTTGTAATTAATTTACTGATTATAATTTTACTTAATAATAAGAAGTGATTCACAAAAATGTTTCTAAAGTAGGCCCTGGAAAAGTTTTCCTATGTCTAAGCATTCAATTCTTTGTTAAGTGTCAGTTTGAATTTAATTTATAATCGTGTGTAGTTATCACAGACATTTCTCATCTTTCTGTATTTGTCAGATGTTTGTCAACTTGAAACTTAAAGTTTGAGTTTCTAATAGCTGTATGAACATGAAAAATGATTTTTTTCCGTAACATGTGGTGAGAGTTGAATGTAATAAAAAAGGTCAAAGATAGGTATTTGAAATAGACATACTTTGTCACCTGTTTTTGTGATTCCATACTACAATAACGTTGTACGAAGCTCTGCTGGCAACCAAGGATTGACAGAGACATGAATAATTGTCCAACGACTGCTGAAATGGTTGTTACTCTTATACTAGGATCTGTGTTAAAACTGAAACAAAAAAATACAAACAAATTTTCAAAAGGTCATTTATAACCTATGTTTTTATTAGAAACTGTAATTTTTTTTTTGTATTTTGTTAGAACGTTTTTAAAAGCAGCTAAAGATAGTATGTAGAATTGAAAATAATTATTATGCCATAAAAGGTGTTTTGGAATTCCTTCAACCTTTTGAAATTGAGTCAGAAAATATAAATTTTATAGGATAGCGGAAAATACCTATAATTTTTTTGTAGGCCTTTGTAAATCGTGGAAATAGTTTATATTTTATTTCTACCTTATTAAGGAAAATGGTACCTATTATTAATAATGGTTGTTTCTGAAACATTACTAAAATTTTCGAAATTTTGTTTTTCTACAAAATAATAAACTATACTATTTAGAAAAAAATTTATTTCTCTTATAATTTTATAAAAAATAACGGGAATATTTACATTTCTTGATCTATTAAACAAAACGATAAATTATCTCGACGAATGACACCATGTTCTAGTACGGAAGCTAGCTTTACATTTTTGTTGGTGGTTTCATGGGTTTCATATCAATTTTTTGTAATTGTAGTTTATACGTACATATACCTCTTAACACTTGTTTGCTTTATTAAAAAAGTGTGTTGTTGTGATTTACATCGAAATAAGTCAAAAACAACTTGAAACCCCATATAAAATCAAAAAGAAGAAACGGAAAAAAATTGAGCCTGTAAATGAACACAACTCAGAAACAAAAATAGCTATCTAATAATAAAAAAATAAAATTTGATTCTTGTGCAGCTTCATCTATAACATTAACTGTTTTTGGTTTTTTAATGGTTTTTCTTGGTGATGAAAATTCCGATATCTCACGGTTATCGATTCTTTTTTTCTCTCCAGAAATGCGGACGACAGTGTTTTTAGATACTCCTGTGGCTGCAGCAACACGATCATTTACATTTTTAAATGGTATTGAAGGTGAATTAAAGTTTCCTTCTCTTCTCATAAACTCTATAACATTGGCTATTATTTCGCGAGATTGACTGTTATTCACGCGGCCTCTTAATTTGCTATTAAACTCCATACTTAGGTTCTATTAAACTGTAATAAGCAAAAAACACAAACGAAAATAAAAGAAATGTTTTAGCGAAATTTACATCTGACATTTACGTCTGAATGAAATAGTGAAATACTTGATGCGCAGAGTGTACTTTCATTGCGTAAATCCGTCGGGATGCCTGTCAGTAGTGCTTTCCCTGTCTAGCCGTCGAAAGCCTCTAGAAATTTGATGAACTGTATGTTTGTGTTGAGCTTTGTTTTTGTTTGTGTTGTGGCTGTTGTAAGCTTGTTTGGCGTCGGTTCTTTATTAGCTTGCTTATATTTGTGATTTTTTGTGCTTTGATTTCGATTTAGTATTAAACAATTATACATTTTTATTAGTTTTCGATGCACCATTTTAAAATTGTTGCACATAATGTTCTTAAACCGTCCCTGAGTCTTGTTTACAAAATGTGTAAAACGAAATAGTACAAAGTGTCTATACTTTTTCATTGACAGTTATCATTCTACCTCTCTCCGTTTCATTTAAAGTTCTTCATGTGACTGCAAAGTGACACGTCCTGTTTTGCTTCCTATTTGCAATTGGGAACAGGAGGAGGCAGGTAAACAGGTATAGTACGACACATTTGAGATGGCGCAAGTGAAATGCACAAAACATAAAAAGAGAGCAGCCTGAGAAGGATATACCTACGCAGCTTGCATTGAGTGAAGCAGCCACACCTCCTGACGTGTGATGTTGCAGTTATATATATTTAGTATTTAAACAGGACAATAAACATATCTAAAGAGAAACTTCCATCCTATTTGTCATGATGCATCTTATTCTGAGTTGCCATTTCAATCTTGTCGTACTGTAGTGGGAGCAGCACATACTTTTATTACTATACGGTGCAAGAGAGAGGTCCGACACGCCCAACATAGGGCGCAGCCATTTTGATGCCCTTACCACAGTTTACAGCTAAAGAATCAGTTTGCTTACTCTGCGTCGACACTTTTGATCTCTATGTTCCAATTTATACACTGCGCAACTCGGATAATACAATATATAACAACCGCCTATAATAAAACAGCAGTCTTCTGCGCATCCTGAATTTGTATCCCTGGAGTGGATGTTATTTTGGAACTTTCAACTGGTCCGAGTGAGCTGATTCTTTAGCAATAAACTGTGACTCCAAAAATAATATTCAATGACACTAACAGCAGCAAGCAAAATATTAGGTGCGTTTTAATCATCCGCTTCTGTTTCCGGAATTGTCGGTTCAGTCGTTTTAACCTCTCAGATTAAAACAAGAAAACTGACAATTCCGAAGCAGAAGCGGATGAATAAAACGCACCTATTAAAAATATTGCGCCAAGATGTAGGCAACACGTAATAAGGCATCAAAATGGCGGAGTTTTTTTTTTCTTTTTAAAAGGCACTCAGAAAGCTGCGCAGTGCGACCATTCTCCGTACAGTAAGAGAAAATAAGAGTAAATCAAAGTATGTGGGGAGCAGTCATGTGACCTATAAAATACAAAGTAAAGTTGCTTTTCGATGATTTTTTTAATTGTTTTTGCTGCCAATGAAATATATGCTAGTAGATGTCAACATCAATAAAAAAATCCCTTTGCAAGCATTTTCTGTCATTCGGTTTTGCTACTTCCGGTGTAGAGATTTTGGCCACGTGACTATATATTTAATTTTTTTAACTAAATTCGGAGATATAGTTTAAACGCGTTTTCTTAATCTAAAATGGTACTGCAAGTATTTATTTTGTGTCAGTGAAAGGATTAATATAAAAGTGATTTAATTACTCTTAAAATGACTCTCAAAAAAAAAGTATTGGCCCTGCAAACATTTTTATTCATTAGTTTTACCCCAACTACAAATAGCAATTAAAAAGCTTTTTGCAGTCAGATGAGAGACTATGAGGTAACTAAGGATATTATATACTCTTGAAGATAGATTTATTGGTAGGCAACCAATTCTACATAAATTTTATACAGTATCATCTCATATACAGGGTAGCTGTTAAAGATGGAACCAAACCTATAGTGCTTAAACGGTTCAACATACAAAACCCAAAATTTGAGAATTTTAACTAAATATATTAGCGCATATTTTAGTCCAAAAATTATTTTTTTATAATTACAAAATTTTGAGCATGGCCGCCATCTTGATTTTTTTCAATAACATCTTAGGTCATGTGATATACCATTTGAAAGGGTTTAACACCCTAATTACAAAAATTTATCACACATGGGGTCTAAACACAACAGAAAGGATATTATTAATAGTGAGTGTAGGAGACTATGCATTTGATACAGACGTCAAATATTATAATAATAACATTTATTGTTGAATAAGTTGTGTTTAAACCCCATATGTGATACATTTTTGTAATCAGGGTGTTAAACCCTTTCAAATGGTATATCACATGACCTATGTTGCTATTTAAAAAAATCAAGATGGCGGCTATTCTTAAAATTTTGCAATTATAAAAATATAATTTTTGGACTAGAATATGCGCAAATATATTTAGTTAAAATTCTGAAATTTTGGCTTTTGTATGTTGAACCGTTTAAGCACTACCCTGTATATTTTATTAAGTTTTAAGTGATAATGGATTAAATAATATTACCATAAGTAATATTTAATTGATTTCTTATTTATTTCTAAATATTTTTTAAAATAGATATTTTTATATTCTATTATATTTATATAAATTTTTAGGTTAGCATTAATTTATAGTGTTACGTTTTTTGTACCAAATTTGTTTCAATATTTGGCCCTAAAAACAAATCTTTGTCTTTAAATTATTACCAGGCATTTCTTTACATTTTTTATTGTAAATAATCCCCATTTTCATAGTTTTAAAAAAACCTCTGTGTTTCTAAATTATTATTATTATCAGATAAATATGGCAAAATGTATACTGTTTTTTTTAAATACAAAAATAAAATACTTACTTGAAAAACTCCAACCGTCCATTAGCTTTGTTTATATCAATGACGTTGCCGACACCTCCTGCTTCAATGCATCCATAAATAATTATAGCGACGCTAACTACAACCATTGTTACGCTTTGAAGTACATCCGCCCATATAGCAGCTTTTAGACCTCCCTACAAATAATCCATTATCTAACGAACTGAATTCGTTCAACGTCTTACATATCAAACTCCATTTAACAAAAAAAAAGTTAATAGTAAATATGGTATAGTAAATATTTCTCTATATTACAATTCTTGGATCAAAATATAAAGCACCAATCACATTTAATCAGCTCAAATATTTAAAAACAAACTACGAATGAGACAATGCAAATATTTGGTAAGAAACTTACAACCTAATGAACCAGCCGTAGGGAACCATTTTAGAAGAGGACTACCAGCTGAAGAAGAAGATATAGGATTCGTTACTTTCAGAGTAGTTGTAAAAGAAATACAGACAAACGTATCCAAAAAAAGTTTCTGAATAAAATTGTATCACAGGGGCTGCCCCAAGAGAACTACTAAGGAAAAGCATTGTGATATTTAGGAATCTGATCAATGCAACTTTCAAATTAAAGCATCTTTCAAAATTCTAAAAAATAGTTGAAGTAATATTGATCTTAAGGCCAGGAAAAAAAAATAAACTATAAATGTACAGACCAATCTATCTCTAGATCAAATACATAGAATCACAGGTTTATTAAAAAAAGTATATAAAGACCAACAAATATACTCAGTACTGTTTCTAGACGTTACTCAAACATTTGTTAAGGTCTGACAGGAAGAGAACATAAATAAATTAAAACAAAATCTTGATAAAAAATATGCTAAATTAATAGAAGCTTATGCAACAGATCTATTCTTTAGGGTGAAACTAAAAACTGAATAGTTTAAGCTAAAACAAATATAAGCAGGAGTACCGCAAGGGAGAGTACTTGGTCCACTCTCAGGTTTACTGTATTTATGTGATATTCTAGATATACACAACGTAACAAATGGCTACATTTGAAAATGATACCACTTTCCTAGGAATAGAAGAGAATGTGGGAGATTCTACCCATAAGATAAAAAGTGATACTAATATTTTAAACAAATGAAATAAAATGTAGAGAATATCTGTAAAAATAAACTTTAATAATAAAACCAATAATCTTAGCATACATATGATAATAAACGGACTGGCGATAGATTAAAAAGAAGAGAACAAGACATAAAAATATATTGGCTCATGGGCAGAAAATCACAAATGAGAATACGTAACAAACTGCTCATATACAAGCATATTCTAAAACCCATTAAGGGCTTACTGTTTTGTAGCTGCACCAAATTAACCAACATAGCACTCATTAAAATTCCCAAAACAAGATTCTTTGGAATAACATGGACACTCCATTTTATATTCAGAACATAAATCTGCAAGTAAACCTCAACGTGATAACGGCCAAAGAAAACTTAGTAATATTTGCTCAGAAGTAGGTAGCGAGGCTTTACAATCATGTTAAGTCGATCAGAATGATATAAAAAGAATACTCAAGAGGACAAAATCATCGAACCTAGTGTAAGGGGTTAGTGAAAGTGTATTGTGTTGTCAAAGTTCACCCTATCATCCGTAAACATTAATATTACATTTAAGCATTCATATATAGATTAGGTTAACAGAATTGGCCGAATTGATAAAAAATAAAATTGTAAGATAATGATCGGATCAATCCAAAATTATTTAGGACCATTATAGAGATGAATTGATGAGACAGAAAAGAAACTATGAAATGAACAAAGTAGATTCACGAAAAACTAACAGTTACTATAATCACACATTTCTCAAAATGACTACAAATCTACAACGCTACAAAGCTACAATGCTACAAAGCTATAACACTGCAATGCTGCAGGGCTGTAAAGCTATAAAGCTACAAAGCTTCAAAGTTAAAAGGCTACAAATAACAAAGCCACAAAGCAACAAAGCTATAAAACTTTAAAGCTAGAAAGCTACAAAGATAAAGCTACAAAGATAAAGCTACAAAGCTGTAAAACTACAAAGCTGTAAAACTACTAACCTGTAAAACTACAAAGCCGTAACATTACAAAGCTTCAAATCTACAAACCTTCAAAGCTACAAGGCTTCAAAGCGTTAAACTACAAAACAGCAAAGCTATAAAGATATAAATCGACAAAGCTATAAAGCTACAAAGTTACACTGATACAAAGCTACAAGATACATAGCTACAAAACTACTAAACTGCACTGCTACGAAACGACAAAGTTAGAAAGAAAAATATTAATGGATTAAAATCAGAATTTTAAAAAGATAAAGTGCATATAATGATGGATATATACCCTGTATGGTTGTTTTATTAGAATGTGTTATGTGTAAGGTGAACTATGAAAAGAGTGATCCAAAATTATGGGAATCTGTACAATTGGCCGACACCCGATTGGCCGACATTCAGTTGACCGACAGGACAATTTATTGACTGAACAATTTATTAACTGGACAATTTGTCGACAGGACAATTTTACCGACCAGCCAATAATTATCGTGTAAACTATGTAAGTACGTTAGTTATTTTTCTCATTTTTCTCATTTTTCTCATTTTTCTCATTTTTCTCATTTTTCTCATTTTTCTCATTTTTCTCATTTTTCTCATTTTTCTCATTTTTCTCATTTTTCTCATTTTTCTCATTTTTCTCATTTTTCTCATTTTTCTCATTTTTCTCATTTTTCTCATTTTTCTCATTTTTCTCATTTTTCTCATTTTTCTCATTTTTCTCATTTTTCTCATTTTTCTCATTTTTCTCATTTTTCTCATTTTTCTCATTTTTCTCATTTTTCTCATTTTTCTCATTTTTCTCATTTTTCTCATTTTTCTCATTTTTCTCATTTTTCTCATTTTTCTCATTTTTCTCATTTTTCTCATTTTTCTCATTTTTCTCATTTTTCTCATTTTTCTCATTTTTCTCATTTTTCTCATTTTTCTCATTTTTCTCATTTTTCTCATTTTTCTCATTTTTCTCATTTTTCTCATTTTTCTCATTTTTCTCATTTTTCTCATTTTTCTCATTTTTCTCATTTTTCTCATTTTTCTCATTTTTCTCATTTTTCTCATTTTTCTCATTTTTCTCATTTTTCTCATTTTTCTCATTTTTCTCATTTTTCTCATTTTTCTCATTTTTCTCATTTTTCTCATTTTTCTCATTTTTCTCATTTTTCTCATTTTTCTCATTTTTCTCATTTTTCTCATTTTTCTCATTTTTCTCATTTTTCTCATTTTTCTCATTTTTCTCATTTTTCTCATTTTTCTCATTTTTCTCATTTTTCTCATTTTTCTCATTTTTCTCATTTTTCTCATTTTTCTCATTTTTCTCATTTTTCTCATTTTTCTCATTTTTCTCATTTTTCTCATTTTTCTCATTTTTCTCATTTTTCTCATTTTTCTCATTTTTCTCATTTTTCTCATTTTTCTCATTTTTCTCATTTTTCTCATTTTTCTCATTTTTCTCATTTTTCTCATTTTTCTCATTTTTCTCATTTTTCTCATTTTTCTCATTTTTCTCATTTTTCTCATTTTTCTCATTTTTCTCATTTTTCTCATTTTTCTCATTTTTCTCATTTTTCTCATTTTTCTCATTTTTCTCATTTTTCTCATTTTTCTCATTTTTCTCATTTTTCTCATTTTTCTCATTTTTCTCATTTTTCTCATTTTTCTCATTTTTCTCATTTTTCTCATTTTTCTCATTTTTCTCATTTTTCTCATTTTTCTCATTTTTCTCATTTTTCTCATTTTTCTCATTTTTCTCATTTTTCTCATTTTTCTCATTTTTCTCATTTTTCTCATTTTTCTCATTTTTCTCATTTTTCTCATTTTTCTCATTTTTCTCATTTTTCTCATTTTTCTCATTTTTCTCATTTTTCTCATTTTTCTCATTTTTCTCATTTTTCTCATTTTTCTCATTTTTCTCATTTTTCTCATTTTTCTCATTTTTCTCATTTTTCTCATTTTTCTCATTTTTCTCATTTTTCTCATTTTTCTCATTTTTCTCATTTTTCTCATTTTTCTCATTTTTCTCATTTTTCTCATTTTTCTCATTTTTCTCATTTTTCTCATTTTTTTTTCTCATTTTTCTCATTTTTCTCATTTTTCTCATTTTTCTCATTTTTCTCATTTTTCTCATTTTTCTTATTTTTCTCATTTTTCTCATTTTTCTCATTTTTCTCATTTTTCTCATTTTTCTCATTTTTCTCATTTTTCTCATTTTTCTCATTTTTCTCATTTTTCTCATTTTTCTCATTTTTCTCATTTTTCTCATTTTTCTCATTTTTCTCATTTTTCTCATTTTTCTCATTTTTCTCATTTTTCTCATTTTTCTCATTTTTCTCATTTTTCTAAATATTTTTCCCAATATGGCAGTGAAAATGTAAGATGTTGAACCTTTGTTGTTATTGATTCATTACAAAATTTGCCTGCATAAAGCAGCGTTTTTATTGGAATAATAAATGAGCTAATTATTTATTGGCATCAGTAACTTGCAAGATCTTCTTACTTATCAAATATTACCGGCTTACTAACTTACTTGCACCTCAGTACTTGTACCAGAAGACTGGCTTTAACCATCCATTGCGAAAGCCATACTATTCTCAAAACTGGTACTAATACTAATAAGTAGCTACACTAATAATATGCATATACAAGACACTAAAGCAATAACATGTTTGTACAGTGGTTTGATCCGAAGTATTTTAGAGTATTGCAGTACTGTTTGGTCTCCGTCACAAGCTATTTATGTCAACCGAATTGAACGAGTTCAAAACAAATTTTGTAAATATTTGCTATTTAAGTTTCACTTTCCATATCGGGATTTATCGTATGAAACGAGACTGCTACCTACTCTGTGGTATGCAAACTCTTGAACGGAGACGCAGGGATGCAATGTTACTTTTGCTCTACAAAATAATTAATGGAGACATTATTTGTGAAAAATTGTTATGCCAAGTAAATTTCGTTGTTCCGTTAAGGCATACTCGACCGTCACAACTATTCTTTGAGAAAACCCATCGTACAAACTATGGACAAAGAGCTTTCATGAATAGGCAACTATAGTAAGCACTATTCTCACTGTGATATTTTTAATTGTACGTTATTATCTGTTAAGAGGATGCTCGAATTTTAAAATTTTAGGTTGTTTCTTGTCTTGTATTTCTGAAGAGTTTTGATATTTTTATATTCGGTTTTTTTTTTAATATGTATATAATTATACTTTAATTGTTGTTTTAGCTTTAAGACTGTGCCATTTGGAATTCATATTTCTGTAGTGTACTTAAGACAATAAATAAATAAATAAATGCCACTTTAATACATGGTTAATATGACAAACCATTTTATTCTTTTATATTTCAATCAACCAAAAAACGAAACCTACCAATATATTAAACAGGATACTGATTAAAGCAATGCTACAAATGGACACCCAGTAAGGCAACCCAATAACAGTCCTAATAGCGACGCATGGCGTAAAAATAGTCACTCCTTGTAGTAAAAATTGCCGCATTATAAATGTTCCTGATGCCAGGCATCTGACTAGTCGAGATTTGAACCTTAAATCCAGATATTGGTAGACAGAAGTTACACCTAAATTGAAGTAGATAGGAACAAACACAAAGCAGACTATTGGATACGCTAGGAGTATGCCGTATAGTGATTCCCACATTGTGGCTCCCCTGTAGTATAACTCGGAGGGATAACCTGCAAACAAAAATCTAAATTAATAAGTTTCTTAATTTCATATTTTTGATTTCTCTTTTCTGGCTGCAAACTACTTTATTTATTTATTTTGTTTTCATGTTTATTTTTTGTCTCTCTCTGTGGCATGGGCGTCGTTACACAATTCTATAGGGGGGGGGGGGGGGGGGCAAAATTTTGAAAAAATTTAGAATGTTTATTAGTTGAAAAACAGAGAAATTAAAAACTAAAAGAGCAATACAAATTAACAAAAGTTTTTAATAAATAAAATAACCCAACAAAAAGACAAAAACTAAAATTAAAAAAAAAAAAACAAAAAACTTAAAACACATATTTCTAAAAAACAAATAGAAGGTGTGAGATAAAAGAAAAATATGAACAAGGAGACAGAGCCATACATAATATATAAAAAAAATAAAATATTTATAGAAAGACAAAAACAAAAAAAAAACTCACTCAAACACGTCGACCTAGTGTTCGTTAATTTTTAATTTCTTCTTCCTCTACCTAAAATAATCGATAACAGAAAACATGATTTCTTTTTAGTTCTTTGCGATTATTTTTGGATGTACGTTCATCATGCAAAGCGCAGTCAGCCTATTTTCATTCATTATTCGCTCTGTGCGTGACAGCAGCGCCAACTAATTTATGAACTAACGGACGATATTTGCGTATACTGACAATACAATTTTTAATGGAATTAAAAAATATATATGTTGATTTTAATAAAAGTATATAGATTTGTAAAACAAGTGAAAAAATTAATTATTATATATTTTTATTAGGTACTTCAGCTAAAATAAAAGTAATATAATCACAGGCCTATATCGTTAATTACAACTCTGAGTAAGATTTTAGAAAAAGCTTTAACAAATCAATTTACCACATATTTAGAAAAATATAATTTACTGTCTGAAAACCAATTTGGCTTTCGAAGAGGAATGTCGACGGAAAATGCCATTACATCCCTAACAAGCAAGATATACAATCTTATTGATGCAAGCACTCCAACTGCTTGCGTATTTCTGGATCTAGCCAAGGCATTTGATACGGTTAGCCACACGCAACTGTTGGATGTCTTGGAGGATGCAGGAGTACGTGGGAAAGTTCATGATTTAATGCAGAGCTATTTGTTAGATAGAAATCAAGTAGTCAGGATAGACGAAGAGGTAAGTAGTAAAAAAGAAATAAATTTTGGTATACCACAAGGTACCGTAATAGGACCTATTTTATTTATACTATACATAAATAATGTACTAACCTACCATACAGAAGGTCGTATCATAAGTTTTGCGGATGATACTGCCATCTTATATTCAGCTGAAACCTGGACTGACCTAAAGGTTAAAATGGAAAACGATTTAGTAAAAATGGGCCCGTTCACTTTCATTTTTGAATGTGAATTAATTATATATTTATAAAGATATTAAACTCTTTTGTCTGGTAGTACTTTTCCCGTTAAGATATTTTTGCTAGAAGTAAGGGAATTCCCATAAAATTCTTTAGTGACTCATTGCGTCAGAAAATCCCTAATTCCGTTCACGTCTCGTATCGGTTATGCTTAAAGACGGCGGTGTTGTCGGAAGTATCCCTAATATAGCATTTCTGCATTTATATATGTAATTTAAATAGTAAAATTTCCATTATTTTTCTAAAAATCATGAACTTATATTTTCAGATTTAAAGCTGGGAGCTTATTTTTTACTTTTTAATTAAAACAATTATTATTACTCAGGCTGAAAATTAACCAGACCATAATCAAAAAGTAGAAATTTGATTTGCAATATTTATCTGGTAACCGTGGCAACGTTGCATTTATTTCTAGAAGTGTGTGTAGACAACACTATTTAGAAGTACTTACAACGTTGTCACGTTTACCAGATACATTTTTCTCAAATAAAATTTCGATCTGGTAATATTCAGCTTGAGTAATACTAATTGTTTTAAAATTAAATTTAAAAAGGTAAGGCTTCCAGCTTTATCTGAAAATATAAACACATTATTTTTAAAAAATAATATATTTTTATCATGTAAATTTCTTTAATAAATGCAGAAGAGGAATGGTGGTGCAATGATACATCCGACAAACCGCGCTCTTTTAACTATTAACCGATACGAGACCTGAAGGGAATTAGGGGTTTTCTGACGCAATGAGTCACTGAAAGAATTTTATGGGAATTCCCTTACTTCTAGCAAAAATATGTTAACGGGAAAAGTACCACCAGACAAAAGAGTTTAATATCTTTATAAATATATAATAATTCACATTCAAAAATGAAAGTGAACGGGCCCATTATAGATGTATTTAGTCACAAGTTACTTACAGTAAATGTTCAAAAAACATTTTTCGTTCCTTTTGCTAGTTATAAAAATGGTTTGCCGAATTATAATTCATTAAAAATAAAAAAATCTCGTTATAAACAGAGCCGATAGTATTCGATATCTAGGATTAACAATTGATTCCCATTTACGCTGGGATAAACATGTAAATGAAATTTGTAAGACCTTAAGGTATTTATTATATAAATTTCGCTACTTAAAATCTATACTTGATATATATCATCTAAAAAATCGTATATTATTCACTAGTGGAATCACGTTTACGATACGGGATTCTCGGATGGGGTGGAGTCTCTGTCACCTACTTACAACCATTAAACATTATTCAAAAAAAATATTAAAAATAATACATAACAAAAAAAGTATCACACCCATCAGACGAATTATTTATAGAATCTGCAGTCCTAGATATAAGACAACTATTTACACTTGCTATGATAGTAAATTTACATAAAAATAAGCAGTTACTAATACCTATTCAACATTCATACCAGACAAGAAATCGATCACAACTATTTATTGCAAAAAAAAACCGTAGGGCCAACGAAACTTCCAATATCTACAATTAAAAATTTATAATACACTTCCTGATATATACAAAATATACTTAAATACCATCAATTCTCATGCAATGATAAAATCCTTGCTTAAAACATATTTAATATTAAATAATAGGCACATGCTTAAACAACTGTTTGATTGATTCAAGGAAAACAATATTTAATTCACACCCTTATCACGCATCAGTATTTTGCTAACTATATTTTTTTTTACCAATTTAAATTTTTATTATTTAGTTATATAAGTTATAAATCTTATTATTATTATTATTTTATTATTTTAGTCATTATGTATACCTTAATTATAATTTCTTTTATCTACTGCGTTTTGGCAATTTCAATTTTTAATAAAAATTGGCATTTCCCATGCTCGACTAAACAGTTTTAATGGGGTCAATGATTTATTTACATTGAAGTTACAATACATATGTTTGTGTATTATTGTAAAAACTTTTATATTAATATTATTATTATTGTGATAA